GCCATTTATGAATTATAGTTTATAGGTTAGGGCTAGAACCACAAGTTGGCCATTTATAGATTATAGGTTAGGGCTAGAACCACAAGTCAGCCAGGTTGTAAAATAGACTATTTAAGGAGGGGCTTTCCCCCCTCATTCCAATCAGATCATCTCATCATCTCATCATATCATCTCATCACAACAGATCATAATCTCATCTGATCATCAACCAGACAGAACAGAGCAATCAATCCAGACATTAACCAGTGTGATCTTAATCAAGTGCCCCATTGAGATCATTCAGACATTGAGAAGCATAGGAAAAAGAAAGTAGCAACCAGTACCACTTGTGATCTTAAACAAGATACAGTGATCTTAAACCATTGTGCTCTTGACTAAGATTCAAGGAGGAAGGGAAAGACACTTTTCAATAGTCACATTTTTTTCCACAATATCATCTCATAAATTCACATTCATCATCAGTACATACGTCAATCATTTTTCAAAATACATAAACATATAAACAAAACACCTCTTACTCAACAATTCCACTCCAATAGTCTGCTGAATTCCCGTTGATCTAGGTTTGATAAGAGACTGCTACACACAGTTTTCTCTATCATCAGTTTTGCCACAACAATAAAAATAAATTATTGTGTTAACTCTTGTGTAGTACAATAGAGGGGCAGGTCTTTCAAACCAGCCATAACAGTTGTAGTAGATCATTACATACGTGATATACCTCATCTGCTATTTCCCCCTCACAGGACTGCCACCATTCCCAAAGGAGTTCTCACACCGTGGTGTAGCCTAGTTGGTAAAGGAAGCACTCTGGTATGTGACTCAGCATTGCTGAGGTTGTGAGTTTAAATCTCACCAGGCACATCCTCCGTTTGTTTGTCTCTGCATCTTGTGCTGGTCATTTTCTGCGGGATTGTGTGTGATCATAGGACATTGAAAATTGTCACTATGAACCTCGGCCGTATCAGTTATATGGACAGTTCACACAACTTGTCCATTGAAAACAGAAAGCAGAAGAAGAGGGTTCAAGAGCATAAATTCTCACTTGACATGTCAATTTCTCTAGTTGATGATTTACACTACACTACATGTGTAGTGTAACTTCTACTGTAGCGTAGCGTAACTAGGCATGTAGTGTAGTGTAGTGTAGTGTAGCTTAATTTGGTATAAGTTACACTAAATGTTAGCTTCAAATCAGTTACACTATCTGAAAGTCAAAATTTTGTTAGTGCAAAAAAAGTTACACTAACTGTTAGTTTAGCTGAGATTATTTGAAGCTAACACTACCAAAAAATTTGAGAGAAAAATTTACACTACACTAACAGTTAGCGTAGTGGGGTTTAGCGTCAGCTAACACTACAGAATTTCCAGGAAATAAAAAGGCCACTACACTAAAAGTTAGTGGTCATATAGCGTAGTGTAGCGTAGCGGCCCACCGTTGGCCAAACGGAGCATCTGCAGCTACATTTTGTTGTTGTTGTTGTTGTTGTTGTTGGGATTGAATACAATGAATGGAGTGAGTGTTATGATATGTACTGATCAGTTGGAAATGAAAAGGGATTCTATATCAAAGTGACCTTCATGCAGGTAGCTGGTGCCCACAACTGGTCCATCCCTGATCAGCGCGGACGATTCCATGCGTTTTTGCAAGACGCTAGTCCTCATGCCATTGGTTAAGGAGCCTTGCAGAATCAGAACTCCCTGGGAGATCATAAACCAGAAGTTATAGAGCATTTCCGGAGAACTGATTTTTATAATCCTAAGCTTAGAGGACTGAAAATCTTTTCTGTATTAGAGTCGAGACATTGGTAAGAGAGAGAGAGAGAGATCTTTGTGTTGTGAGAAGAGCCTCTCAGATGGTATCCTCATTGTAGATGATGGATGTATGGGACATATGAGCCCTCCCCCGTTTGAACATTTCTTGCAAAGGTGTATGTATACATATATCAATCATAAGGCAATCCCCATCGAGAGGTTGATATGGAGTACTGCTTATACACTATCACATCAAGTTTGAGCATACTTGAGCTGCTTGACCAGCTCATGCTAACCTTGAGCTGAAGCAACCTTTCTTCAAGTGTGTTACAGGGAACAATCTTGTAGAGAGGCTTAGGCCCAAAGTTGAGTTTGGTAGGTGGCATCATTTTGCATTTACTTCAATTACCCCTTTAAAAAAGATTGCAAAAAACACTCTCTGTGATCAAAATCAGGTGTTGTCATTGTCATTCAAACAACTCTGACTCATATCATTTCCATTATCAGGTTCGACTCTTTTTCACATCTTGTTTTTCTTTTCATGCTTTTCTTCTCTATCTATGATAATCATTACACGCTTAACCATATATGCCTGTGAAGAAGAGAAACTAATCTAAGAACTCTTGCATGTCCTTCCAAAACATAATCAATCAATACCATTGCTGCGCTTGTGCAGGTGTGTGATCAAAATCAGGTGTTGTTGTTGTCATTCAAACAACTCCGACTCATATCATTTTCATTATCAGGGATATCACAATTATTACAAGAAATATTTGATTACTGGCAATTTTGAATTGTTTATTGTGTATTACAAGTTTTTTTTCCCTCTTCTTTGACTTTTTCATCACATATTAAAAGTTTTTTTTCAGAGAAAAAAGTAAGCAAAAGAGATCAAAACTGGTTAGAAGCGGTCATTGAAAGACTGAAAGTTAAACCAGTTCTTTAAGCAAAGCAGAGCCTCAATTGTTATAGGCTTGAGAGACAATCACTGCCATGAGACAACTTGGCGGCCTGTCAAAAAAACATGTTCTGATGTGGCACTTGTGGCAGGGATCAATAGGTATTGCCGGGCTATCAGGACTAGTTTCATGAAAGACTTCTGTAGTCTTGCCCAATAAGGAAGGTCCTCAATATCCTTGGTTTCAAAGTCTTCTTTTAAATAGAGATGAATCTCAGCTTGTATGCTGTCAATCTCAGGTGCGGGCTGATACAATTCTGAGACAAAAAAATTGTTTGCTGGCAGAAGTTCAGAAGTTACACTTTAAACTTTAGCGTAGTGTGGCGGAATTCTGCTAAACTTTAGTGTAGTGTAGCGGAATTCTTTCACATCTGTACTAACACTACACGCATAGGCCCCCAAAAAGGGCCCACTATGCTAAACTAACATGCTGGTTAGTGGTTTTTTGGCCCTGTAGGGCAGTGTAGCATAGCAAAAATCTGCTAAAAAAGCTAACACTACAAATTTTTGGCGCAAAGAAAGCACTGCTATGCTACACTTTTTGGGCCAAAAGCGTAGTGGCCCACTACTGCTGTGAGAGAATTATAATGTAAAGAATTTTGGGACTTTGGAGCTCCAAAACTTTGAGATTTTTTCCTGTTTTTACTTGAAACTTAGATTTTACTTTTACTATGTATACTACAATTTTTTGATTACGTATACTTTCAGAATAGTAGAGAAAAATAACAAAATAAGTCTCTTGAGGAAAACAAAAGGTGCTATTTATAATAAAATCTATTGAAAGAAAAAAGGCTAGAATAGGAGATTCTAGTTCATGATTGTCAGGGAGAAAAGCTTGTCATAAGGTAACAGTTTTGTAACATATATTTTGATCTGTAGCTAGATAATGATTGATTTTATAAAAGACAGAGTTTGAAATGTTACAAGGATAGAAAAACAACCAGGAAATGGAATTATTATTGGGGATTAATAAATGTACCCCCCTTTTCTGCTAACCACACCCGGTTTTTCACACCTGGTTTCCTGCTTCTACACCCGGTTTTTCCCAGCCTTTGTAATTCATTTTTTTGGAAATTCTGATTATTCTAAAAATCTTCTAAAATTGATCATTCTTTTTGGGTATATAAAAAAGGGGATTAATAAACGTACCCCCCTTTTCTGCTATCCACACCCGGTTTTTCACACCTGGTTTTCTGCTTCTACACCTGGTTTTCCCCAGCCTTTGAAATTCACTTTTCGGCAATTCTAAATATGCTAAAAATCTTCTAAAATTAAACATTCTTTTTGGGTATGTAAAAAATACTCAAAAGAGAAATTTTAATTTTAACTTATTAGGGGGTATCAAATATAACCTTCTGCCGCCTATGAATTTTTGAAACTCCAAAGTACATTTAAATTTATCATTGATATTGCCAAATCTTTGGGAAATCTATAAAGAACAAAATTTGATTTCATTTTGGAAATCCCAATGTTGTTGGTTTTGAGTAATATGCAAATGGACAAAATAAGGAATATCTTGAATGGTACCATCTATATGGAGAAGAAAAACTGAAAAATTGACAATTAATAATAATTTTTAGCTATAATTCAAGTTTTCAAAAATTCACAGGGAGAAATCAACTGGGAAAAAATGGGTGAGAAAAACAAAAAAAAAATTGAAATGCTCTTTTGTAAATTTTTGACATGCCCAAAAAGAATGCTGGATTTTAGATGATTTTTAGCATATTTGGAACCCCCAAAAAATGAATTAAAAAGGCTGGGAAAAACCGGGTGTAGAAGCAGAAAACCAGGTGTGAAAAACCGGGTGTGGATAGCAGAAAATAATCAAAAAAACATGCCCAAACACGGAAACCGTGTGCGCTGTGCAGCTGCAAAACTGCCTCAAAATGCGGAAAAACTGTGTTTTTTATGGGGGTGTAGATTTTTGCAAAGTATAAATTGCAAGGCTTAAGCCTTGGAAGGATCATCCTTTGGAAAATTGTGACTCCACCGGCTGGAGTCCAATTTTCCAATGTATATCTCACTCCCCTGCCCTTGTAATTCCAAGCCTTGGAAAAAGTAGCTGGTAAATCCACCTCGAGACCATGAAAAACGGGTTTTTGCAACCCATATTTCCCAAAGCAAATGCCCTGTAAAAAGCAAGGCTTGTAAAATTTATTATTTCCACTCGATTTGTGGATTTACCAAGGCTTCTACATTTGCAAAGTAGTAGTGCGCAAAACATGAGGTGTGTAAAATCCTAAATACAAATGCCTAGGGGAGAATTTTACACAACATTGGAACAATTTTATGCCTGCCCTTTCCCAGCCCTTACCACCCTTTGGCTACGACGTCCAGGACCGCGAATGGGTGGTGGAGCAGGGACCGAAGACACATCTAATAGCTCCTCTGATACGAGCCCCGATGCTGGCAATTTAGGCCTTACTGTGATTTTCAGCCTTTGGATCTTTGGCTTTGGCTTCTCAGTCCCCGAGTTGGGCTCTGTTGGGCACTCAGTCAGCTTGCCACAATCAGTTTGCAGGTTCATCTCCCCTAGGGTGGGTTCGTTCGATGCAACTAGGGGTTTGTTCGATGCAACTAGGGTGGGTTCGTTCGATGCAAGGGCCAATGGTGTGGCAATCTCCGATTTCTCAGTCACTGCATCGAAGCACAAAACCCAAGATCAATATGTGAAGAATTTATAGAATTAGACATCCTCTTACCATAGTCGGGTGCCAAGAACTTAGTTCCTTCTTCAAGCAATTCTGAGAGATTTCCAAACGGAATTTGATTTGGCCGCGCATTTGGGAAATCCTTTTTCACTTGCTTCATCTTCTCACCTACAAATTCCCTCTCCGTGGTGGTCCAGCTCCTTGAATACATAACCCAGCTGGTGTGGGGCTGAGCACCACCGATTGTGCTCAGATCCGAGCTGACCATGCGAGCGAGTCCATCATTCTCCCTGTCGTTATGGTACCAAATGCCGACTACACCAGAGACATTCATAAGTACTTTCGACCAGTAATGGTAACCATTCCAAAAGCCCCGAGCAAAAAGAGTGTATGCCTCGCCGTGAATCTTGATTCCAAATGGCCAGTCAATCGATGACATAAAACTGGCTTGTTTGGCTTTGTCCAATATTGATGTAACCTCCAGGAGGAAATAAAGATGAAGAGGAGCTCGATCTTGAGGGAAATGAAGTGTTGAGACTTCCTCAAGATATGGTTCAGTCGTAGCAGGTTCACAAGCGGTTGCAATCGAGATATCAGGTGTGATTTGTTTTGAATGAACTGGATCAATGGCTTTGGGAACCCTGCAGTGTTTACAGATGAGCCCCGAGGTTCCCACAAGCCCACTTGACGTCCAGCGCAATAAGAGGTTGACCACATCGGAGGAAGCGAGGCCATTGGCCTCAAACATGGCCTTTCTGATGTTGATTATGTATCGCGAGCGTACCTCCGTCTTTCTTGCACTTGGATGAGTCGAACAGTTCAATATTCTCCTCTCTTCAACATCGAATAGACCCTGTCTCGATCGGTTTGGGTTTGCCTTGGGATCCAGGAGGATTTCAATGAAGAAGTCAGCTGATGCAAAGTCCCCAGCCACAAAGCTTTGAGGATATAAGTTATGAGCATGCTGGAACAGCCTCGCTTGTGCTTTTGACAGCATCCCACGAACTGAGCCTTCCTGAGACAATTGATAGGTTGTTCGGGCCGTAAAATGCTTCACAAGCGAGGTGAATAATGAAGTCCCATGGCCGCTGGAGCCACGCAGCCATAGTGGACTGTACAGCGAAAATAGAGTCTCTAATGCCGCCGCCATCCAGCAACGGTTGGCGAGATGGGGCTTACTGGATGCGCGATAAGAAGGGTAAGTTGAAAAGGCAGCTCGATCGACATTGAGTGCGCCACGAGGTCTGCCTAACTTCTTCTTGCCTTTCAGTTCGGGTAGAAGCGCATCTGTGGTGTCAGGTGGTCTGCCGTCGTTGTCTGCTTGATGTCGAATCTTCTTATTTGCCGGAGCCGCTGGATTTGTTGCTCTCTTCCTTTTTTTATCCCAGCCCAGCGATTGAGCTATGTCTATTTGCTCCTTCCTAGAAGCACCGTACTCAATTGAAACCCCTCGCATGACTGCGTCATAGTCTTCTTCCAAGACCTTGACAAAAGAAAATAGTCGCACAAGACCTAGTTGGAGGCACATCTTCCCCTCGCTGCCAAATTTTAGACCAGAATCAGAATCAGATCTACAGAACAAGTTGCACAACTGCTCAGGACGCACCTGAACATGTAGTAAAGACGGTGAAGGCTCTCTTGGGCATTAGTTGTTAATGTCGGGGCCCGTTTGCCTTCTGGTGCATCTTCAGCTCGTGCCCGTCGGGTTGGAAAGAGCATGGCCTCCACATCGGCCATGGTCCACCAATCAAACCACTTTCTAGCTTTGGGGAACAGTCGCCGCAGTTGGTCCATCTGATCCTCGTGGCTTGGATCACCATCAACAGGCTCCTTGATCAACGCAAGGCACATCGTCTGGAAGGTATTCTACATAATACTCAAGTAACTAGGTCAGCAGTGTAAGAAGAAGTGTTGCAAGCATTGAATCGTACCTCTTCATCGGCCATTACTATGTGCCTGTTTTTCTTCACCCGAGTCACTTGAGCACGATAGTGCTCATGACAACCTTGCAGTTTGCCTAACACGATCTTTTTGTCACAAATCCCAAAGACTTCCCAGTACGCTGCCACAAATCCCTCCCGCCGAGCTGCCGAGAAGTCTACGATGTTGCGCACCAGGATATCGCGCTCCTCTGGAGTAAATTCGGGCTTGAGGAATTGTCAAAACAGGGTTGCAAAATGTATTCTGTAATAGTTTTCTGACAGTCCTCGAATCCAGGTCAGCTGCACAGGGACCCATCGGCCTAACTCCTCGCAGTACATTGATGTTGAAAGTAGATATCCATTGAGGAAGAAGCGATATGTGACATCAGAAACTAGGCCCTGGCTATAAACGTCATGATCAATGTCGCGAGCCAGAAGCAGTTTTGCCCATCCATTCTGTTTGGAATGTGAAGTGTTCTGCATCGTCCATGAAACCTGCAGAGATTATTCGCAATCCGCGTCTACAAAAGAGAACAATTAGTCAGTGAGGTCCAACTAAAGATCAACTGTTTCTCACTCACTTGTTCCATTGGAACATATCAGTCAGAAACTTGTTGTCCATGGCAGCGCCTTTTTTCCCAGGCACTATTCCTAGATCGGTGAGCATGAGCCTGCGATGATACCGCAGCCGATCTGCATGCGCCAAAGATGGGTGGATATTGAGGACACTGTCAAATGGGTCCTTGGGCGCACTCGGCTTGCCAATCTACACATACACACATCAGCCTCTCAACGAAATCACATGCCAAGGCAGATGACTCACTTTCAGTGCCAAAGCCCCCTCCTTGGGGTTCTTGGCAATCTCTGCCTTGAGTTTCTTCTTGGCCAGTGGGTCCGGCTTCTTGGCCTCAGGCCACGGGTGATGGTGGATGCCATAATGCCGGAGGATGGACCACCCGGTTGCGGTGTTTGTATCAAAGCGGGTGATGGTGTTTCCACAGGGGACATGTGTCGCATTTCCCGGGCACTTCCTGCCCCGAGCTCGGCATCTTGGGTGCCTGTTTGATTGGAAAAGTCAGCATGGCCAAAATCCCAAAGAGGTCTAGGACTTGGGGACTTACTTCTGTAGCCAAATTGACATTTCCTGAGTTCCTGTAGGAGGTGACCCTGTCCATCGACATCCATCGCGGTCACAACGGAGGACACCAAGGCACATAATTCTCCTCAACTTCCAGAGTCCATTGGACCGGAACTCGGTACCAACCTTTTTAGTAAATCCAACTTCACCCCAGTTGGTGATCTCCACTCCAGGTGGTTTGACAAAGACTGTGTTGCCGTTCGGGAGTAACGGGTAGCCTTCGGAGTCCAAAGTATTGTTGTGGTCAATGAAAGTCACCTCGTTCCCTGTCGGCAAGAAAAATTTCTTCATTTTGGGTCGATCAATGTCAATGTTGTCTTCAGCTGCAGCAGATTTTTCGGTGGGCTTTGGTTTTCCTCGGGACAGCCTGATGGGAACCACTACTTTTGCCGGTGGGGAGGGCTCAGACTCGGAGGAAATGGATTCCTCACTATCAGTTTGCGATACTTGGTGATCATAGTCGCTCTGGGATTCTTCACTGTACATGACTAGGAACTAGGATGGACAGATAGTGATTTAGGCGAAATTCTCAAGAGGTGGATCTCAGAGAGAGTGGCGATACTGGGCAGAAGAAGGGTATCGGGATGGGCAGCAAAAGCTGGCTGTATGGAATGGAAAATTCTCACCCACAAATCGAGCATGCATTTTGACCATGGTCCCCAAACACATGGATGAGCCCTTCTAACATGATACCCTGTATTTTTCTATTTATACCGGGTGCACTGTTTCATTGAGCAGTACCAATCCAAAGGATGTAAATACAGCCATGGAAAACTGTACATTGAAACTTGTCAGAGGTGTTTTCCCCTGGCAATATTTCCAAGGCTCCAAATTCCAAGGCCAACCTTGCGAGATAAGCCTCATAAATTTCAATCCTGGCCACAGTACCTAGATTTTTGCAGTCCATCGCCTTTGCAAGGCTTCAGCCCCGCAATTCATACTTTGCAAATTTCTCCTACCCGGTTTTTTATTAAGGCCCTTTTGAAATGTGTAAATTTTTCAATTTTTTTGTTTTGTTTGCAGAGTTTCCTGATAGCAGGGGATTTTTATAATCAACAATAATTCTGTGCAACACAACATCATCTAACCTAACAAAGTCCTCAGTTTGGCAGGTGTTGAAGCCACCCCTCCTGATGAAGGGAGGGACTTGCAAACTTTGCGGGGGTGCTTGACTGAGTCCACTCACCAAATCAGGCTGGAAATTTGCTGTTTGAATTTTCCAGCCTGTATTTTTGATGCGGTCAATCCCAGCAACCAAAACTTGGAAAGAGCAATGCTGTTGCGATTTTTAGAGCCCTCAACCTCAGCTACAGTGGCGCAACCCATGTTACTGTACACCACCACCAGCAAAAAAATTTTTGGCCTGTTGGCCTAATGTTTGTAGACACTTGGGGTCCATCACCCATTTTTATTGTAGATTTGGGCTTTTTGAGGGCAGTAGCTTCCATAGATAAAAGGGCTAAGCCCCCACTGCTCCAACAAAAAAGTTTTTTTTATTTGGGGTCAACATTTCGGAATCCATGGGCTTAAATGCCCCTACAGTCTCATATTCATGTACTTAACTCTGATAACACATAAGTATGTCTTCTCCCACCAAAGGTATGTGCATAAATTATAAATTAGATTACATTTTTGTTGGTACCAAACATGGTAATTTGACTCTGGGATGTAATATTTTCCAAACAAGTGGCAAAAATTGCACATTTTCTAAAATTTCCAAGCCCCAAAACCTAAATTTTCCTCAGATCCTGCCCTTCCCAGGGCATATTTTCTTGATTTTTTTCCTCCAAACATTTTGGAACCCCAAAATCCATGTACAGTAGGATGGGTTGCGCCACTGTAGATGATACCCACAAGGGTTCTTTTAGCAAATTTTCAAAGCCTGTCAAGACGAGTCAAGACCACACTCATCTCAGGCTTCGCTTGGGCCCCGGGGCTCAAGTAGGGTAAGTTTTTATTTCTTGTTTTTCTGCTTTGCTCTTTTGATTGAAGATATATCTTCAAAAGCGGAGCTGACAGAAGGCAAGCCAGGATGCAAGCTGTGCATCTTTCTCTCTGCAGAACTATACATGCGTAGCTCGCTTAATGTCCTTTAATGAGTCTGCAGGAAACTGAGCCTGATTTCCAAAGATTCCCTCAGTCGACCACCCCTGCGAAGTTCACAAGTCCCACCCTGCGGGAGTGCTTTACAGCAGCAAACCTGGGGACTTGGCAACATCATGATCAGGGAGTTGTTTGATCCGGTCGAGTGATGTTGACTGGGGTGTACTGTTGTAATTGGTTTCTGTATGAGCGAAGTCGAGGGTAGCCAGTCCGGGTGGGAGGTGGTTGCTGTGGTGATATTCGATCGATCGCTGTTCATGGGGGGTTGCCAAGGAAGCCAGTCAGCACAGCAACAGACGAGAATCCACCTGCATCCTTCAAAATATAAGCACAGCTAGCTCTCCTCTCCTCTCCCCACCACCATCACCATCACCATCACCATCATCCATCCACAATGCCATACTCAACCAACAAGAACACCATCCCATTCGCAACACCAACAACAACCTCATCAAACGACCAACTACCCCGTCCTTCATCCGAATCAAGCACCTCATCACAACCCACTACCACCACAAACTCATCACCAAACAAGAAGAACAACAACAAGAAACAATCCATACTCAGAAAACTATCAACCTCATCCAGGCGCTCACTCTCCTGGCTACCCGGGAATACATCCAGACCTACAATCATCAACTGAAGACAAACCAACCAACAAGATCAAATTCAAAAAGAACAGTCCACCCAACTCATCCAATGTCGAACAACACCATCAATCAACAGCTAAGAATGTACTCGGAAAAGGCATGAGGAACGTCGCTAGGACCGTCAAGAAATCATTGCATCAATTCGAACGACCACGCTCTATCACCACCCCCAACCAGGACCAACAGCTCCAACAGGACCTGCAACCCAGCCAGCCAACCCCCACCCAACAACAGACCACTAACATCCGAACTAGGGCAGTCTCCACCTCAGAGGTCTACAGCAACAACAAACAACAACAACAATCAGACTCATTCTCCCGCTCCTTGAACCAACAACCAGATCAGAACAGCTATCCGATCCAACACAACTCATCATCCTCCATCACCACTCCCCCCAGATCGCCCAAGCGACTCAAGAAGAAGAAGAACCGAGCACAGAGTGCATTCGAGCCCTTACTCAACCAGACGCCAGCCATCGAGCAAGACTCGACCAGAGCACCGCCGCCCGGCCGATTGAGCTGGCATGCCCAGACCCCCGTCGGCTCCTTGCCCATGGCCGCCTCCATCCTCGCCGCTCCCTCGCCACCCCCCATCGACCATTCCTCCTTCATGGCCATCCTCCCCGGCCAGCCGATCGTACCCGCGCTCTCCGTCGTCCCCCCTCCCGCATCGCTAGCCGTCGATCCACCGATCCTGACCGCTATGAGCACCAAAGTCGAACCCTCCCTCTCCCGCAGAGTCTCCCTCTCCTCCTCCTCCAATCACAACAACAACAACAACCCTTTATCTTCTTCTTCTTCTTCTTCTTCCTCAGTCGACGATCAGATTAATGACCCTCTCAACGGATTCACTTTCATCAAAACTCCCTCCAAACTCCCTCCTCCTTCGCCTACTCCGAGTGCTCAGCTCTTGAGCTCCAATTGGACCGAGATCTTGACAACCCCTTCCTCGCCCAACTCCCTCACCGAGTCCCATCATCATCAGATCCGAAATATCGAGATTCCGGCGGACGGCCC